ACTAAGATACTGAACTTGATATAATAACGTACACTAAGCGATGCTGCTGTCTAGAGGTACGCTTTGAACGATTTCGACGAAGGTGGACACTACAGTATTATCTAAAGCGTGCTGTCTTCTGGGATATAAAACCCTGTAGTCAGTTGAAAGTCAGTCGATGTTTCGGTAGGACATACTGCCTCTATCTTCAGGGTCGAAGAATAAGCCCAGCAAGCATGAAAGCAGGAGGTTCTGCTTGGCGCCCGCTTTCACTCTTGTATCTATCTCGGCTTATTCATCGACCTTGAAGATGGAGGCAATATGTTCTTCCGAAATTCCGGTTGACTTCCAACGGACTTAACGGCGTTGTGTCCCAGAACATTGAACTCTTCATAACAGCCGCCGCTGAGAACCTCAAAACCTACTTCATGTTATCTTCCACCGAGGCCTATCACAGTGGCCGCGAGGTCTATGGCATGAACTTTCTTCTTCCAATCGAACGCTGGGATCGTGGATTCGAATCCCGCTCAAGGCATGGATGCCTTTGTGCTTTTATTCTTTGTGTAGGTAGCGATCTTGGGACAGGCTGATCCTCCGTCCGAGGAGGCCTACCGACTGTGTAAAAAGGTCAAGAAACTGAAAAATCAGCCGAGATGCATGAGGGCTGTAGAGCCGTGGGTAGATATGTAGACAGATAGACAGACAGATGACCTTCCACTGTCTCCTTCCGGCCCTATCCGTAACTACATACTGCAGACCCTGTTAACGCTCGTGAAGACATAGACCTGCATCATAGCATTCTGCAGTCTTTTGTTGTAAGTGTTCGTTATCAGCTTTGAGGTGACGTCACGGAATTCGATTAGGGAAGGGAATGACGCTGCAACGGTATTGGAACTAAGGCGCCTCTCGAATGCTAGTCTGTAGCGTCACTCCTTTGTTTCGTCGGGGAATGTGCTGCCGTGAGAGACTACCAGAGACAGTTTATCGATTGTACAGTTGTGAAGCTTACTGTACTCCACTGTTAAATATCTTCGTGCTGCCTTTTGCTGTGTACATACTGGTTACCGCGGGAATTTGAAAAAAAGAATAATGCATAGCCGCTCTGATGTGACGTGTATACGCCAATCCATCACGCGCACCGACTGCCCTGTTCTGCAGAAAGTTAGAGGTCCTCAGATGTTTGTGTACCCGGGATTATTATTCGGTTCTTGCGTCTTCCCAAGCCTCCGTCGGTTCTCCAGCCACTCCGTGCTGTCAGTAGTTCTGGGAAGAACGTTGGTGTAATAATATCGTGATATGACGTCGGAATAGCGGAGCCAGGGTAGATGCTCATTGTTAGGCAACGAATACATAAGTAACAATCGAAGTAATGTTGAGCTGTACAGATGTACCCTCGGTGCGTCGTGGTTTTTCAAGGTTACTGAAACTTAGCGAAATCCGTAACAGGTTAAAAAGTTAAAGCTATCCCTGTAACAGGCCTTTGAGGCCCATAGGGTTGTGAGATGTTGAGGGTCCCACATTATCTAGACAGTTCTCTCACAGATGGCGGTGAGATTGTAAGCCTTACGCGCCAGCCGCCCTTTACCCCCAGGAAGATACCACGTACTCATTTCTGTTAGAGGCTTAGCCGACCCCAGGGGCCATAGTGAAGCTAAAAGTTCATACTAGTAGTTCAAATTACATAGCCCACTGGCATTCAAAGGGATCAGCCTTAATGATATTGAAATTTGACCGGAAAGGGTTAGTTCTGTTTAGAGAACAAATGGTGAAATTATGCAGTGTTTTAGGATGCAACTGGGTTACAACCACCCAGACCGGTACTAGGGCCCACCTAGCCCCTATGCAATGAGTCCCGGGGGGTAAAGCGACCGGAGCGTGAAGTCGACCACTCCCAACTAGTGTCGAGGTCAGGAAACGTGATCTATACATGCACTCTTCCATAATCCTTCGTGGCTTACTGCTTAATTAGTTAAGCGCAGGGACAAATTTGCGGGTGGCAGTAGCAGCGAACGGCAGGAATTTGTACTCATTCCCAGATTTATTCTCCAATTTTATTGCAAACCGACATTTCTGCCTGTTCAAATATCTCTCCTGTTTAATTGAAACAGTCGCCGAAACTTGAAGCACGAATTTCGCCCAGACTTTGTCACATGAACTAGAATAACAGTTATACATTTTCGCCATTAAACCGTCAGTGGTGTCTGGCACGGAACATAAAGTTGATATTAACATGTTAAAATATTAAAATGTCAGCCTTGTATCAGTTCTGTAGAGTTGTTAGGATTACAGCTCGTAACTATATGTCGGGAATTATTCAAGAACACCTTGCAGCTTTTTATTACCCTACCCCTGTATGCATTTGACAGCACATCCGAACCAGAGTGGAGCGAAAATGCAAAATTAATTCCTGTTAACGACCTCCTGCAGGACCGAAACGACGTGTATGTACTGGGACTAGTGAGTTGTATGGTCACACAGTCCCTGTGCGGTTTCCGTAACCAAACTTCGTTCCAGATCCTACACCCCATCAAGTCTGTTAGTAGATTTCTCTGTTCTTTTATCCTGATGAAGGCGCCACGCCACAGATTGCGAAACCCCTAGTTCCGAGGCAGGGAAGGACGTGCAGTAACAAATAGAGTAAGCGGCCTCCGTAGTCTAGAGGTAACGTTCCCACCTCATGACTCGTAGTACGCGGGTTCATATACCAGGCGGAGGTCGTCGAATTTTTAAGGGCGGAAAAATTCAGGGAACAAGTCCTCCGGGAGGGACTTTAAGCTGTGTGTCCCGTGTCGTAACTTTACGGCACGTAAAAGAACCCCATATCCCCAAAGGGGATCACTGAGCCAAATTCCAGGACGTTTCCCGCACAACAATAGTCTCTAAGGCCTCTCATAGATGGGGGAAGCATTATAGACACCGCTAAGCAAGTGGCCGAACTCGCTTGCTCGGCGGGACTGATGGTACACACCATTTATCGGTAGGGTATAGAGACTGGTAGAATATCATAGAGGGAAGCACAATAGATCAAACTGGTCGCGGTGCTTGGGGAAACCCACCCTCTCTAAAATACTTAACTAACAAATAGAGTAAACCCTCGCTAATCCCGATTAATTGGCGCGGAGATCGTTCGTAATATTGAAGCAAAAGATAGCCCTGAAAGGGCCGTGATAGCACAGGCGGTTAGTCGCTGTCTTCCCACCTCGGCGGCCCCGGTTCCAGCCCAAGGTCAGGTCAAGTGGGGTTTGTGGTGGACAAAGTGGCGATGGGGCAGGTTTACTCTGAGTACTTCGGTTTTCCCTGCCAATCTTCATTCCACCAGTTGCTCCGCAATCACCCTCACCTATCATCTGGGGCTGGTACAGTAGGCCAGAAGTGGCCGCAGTACAAGGGGCTTAGTCCCACTCCACTAGCAATAAAAAAAGTGTAACCGGATTAGCGAGGAGTTACTGTACTGTTCTTCCTAATCATGCGATGCATTTGACAGAAATCTGGTGAGAAGACAGTATCGCAACGTGTGTTCCCTCTCTTGATACGTACCCTGTCTCTCTGTATTTGCGTTCCTTTGGACACGATGCGTTTCAAGAATTGAAAGTATTGATTGTTATGATCGGAAATAAACTGAATATTAACATAATCATGATATAGATGCCAAACGTTATTGAAACAGGTTCTTCCTTCCTGTTTGTACGTTGTGTGTTGCAAACGCGTAAACGTTGATGACGATATCAAGAACTGAGCGTTGTTACAAACGTTTATAGGATCAGCACCACGGGAAAATTAGCTGACATTACTTCTTGTACTGACGGAACGCGGAGACACGTGTCTACATTTCCAAACACTTCGTGCCCCCTCGCGGTTGGTCATCAATTTGCCTAATTCGATTACAATCCCAAATGCGGCCGGCAACAGTACAGCTTCGTAGTTACGGAAGGTTTGTCAGCAGACGCCGCCTGAATGTTGTGTCTGACATCCGCACGTTGCAAATGTCAGTATTCCCATTTCGCTGCCTAAACTCGGGAGTTGCATGGCAGATACCAAACAGCCGCACTATGGCCCTGGGGTCGACTCAGCCCTTAACAGATATGAGTACCAGGAATCTTCCTCGGGGGTAAAGGACGGCGGGCGCGTAGGGCTGACAACCTCACAGCCAGCTGTGAGCCGATTGTCTAGAAAATGTGGGAGCCTCGACTGTCTGTTACAGGCGTAATGTTATACCTTACCTGTTGCGTCTCAGATTTATACCTCCATCTGTTCGTTGGATTTCCCTGTTCTCAGCTTTCGTTGAATTTGTATTTGTTACTAATTTCATAATTATGTTGTGCTCCACGGTCCAATATGGGATTACCATCCCTCTGTTTTTTTTTCCGAATCACACGTTTACCGCTGAGATAACACATTGGGTTTAACTGCCTTCTCATTCGACTTTTTTTTCCTACTGTACTTCCAAATCGCACGGTACAGCGTACATCATTTGATGACAGTGTTGTCATGGTAACGTGTTGTTTACACACTTGCCGTTAACGTTCCCCGTCCCCCCTTCTCACCGGACTTAGCCCCCTGTGATTTCGCTTTGTCTCTCAAATTGGAAATGCAACTGAAGGGACGACGTTTTGAAACAGGGTCTGACAGCCAAAGGGAACCGCAACTGGTACTCGACAGCATTAAATAAAATGACTTGCACGGCGCTTTTGAAGAGTGGAAAACGCGATGAGACGGCTGCAGGAGATGGAAGCCAAAATTGAGTAAGTTAAGCCAACATTTCTTTTTTGAGCTAGTCCGGGAAGTTTATTGTAGTACCTCGTACATTGTTTCCGCATTTCACGTACGGTCCGCTTCATCTGCGATAGCGAGCTATAATCCCCCCCCCTCGCTCTCCCGCTCACTCACACACACATATACACACATAGACTTGTACAAAAACGGATGCTTGTGACATTACGAGAATGTGTTGGCGAATGATGCGCCGAGGCCGAAAGTAACTGCTTCCACTGACCAAATTGACCACATTCGCTCTGTTGCAGGTGAAATGATGACGTTGCAGTGAAGAGTGGGTGCTCCTGGCTCGGGAATGAGGTTGCCATTGGTGACCCTGTTACCAGTGATACTATTGGCGTCCCCGCGACAAGCTGGTGAGTAACTGCTGATTATTTCAGTGCAGTGTCTTCACAACTTGGTACTCTGCATAGCTTTAGAAAACGTCGAATGGTGTATCTTGATAACAAGAATTCGAAATCCTTTCCATCGGCAGCACCAGCATCGGACAGTTAAACTTTCGAAGCCTCAAGTTAGTCTAAGTGATATTCAAGGGGCCGCGCCATAGCTCAAGCGGTTAGTCGCTGGCTTCCCATCCCGGCGGCCCGGGTTCGATCCCGGGTCTGGTCAGGTGGGATTTGTGGTCGACAAAGTGGCGCTGAAGCATGTTTCCCCTGCCAATCTTCATTCCACCAAATGCTCCACAATCACCCTCACCTATCACCTGGGGCTGGTACAATAGGCCAGAAGTGGCCGCAGTACAAGGGACTTAGTCCCACCCCACTAGCAATAACAAAAAGTGATATTCAAGAATCTGATCTCTCTTGACTTTGAGCGTAAGAACTTCACAACGCCCTGATCAGTCTGCATTTTGGAAAAGCAGGATTTCTTTCCCCCAGGAAGCTGACTTCAATTCCGATGTGGTTCCCTTTCTGTCTGCCACCCTGTCACCTCGGGAAAGGGCACTTACAAAGCACAGCCCACCAGGAAATGGGGCCTGTAAGTCTGTACTCCCTACAACTAGAGGTCCCAGGTGCAATCTGAAGGGAATATATGCGCATGTACTCATCGCCGATCATAGTGGTCGCACGGTCAAAGATATGAAATACCTTCCTTCACTCGAACCCTGGGATAGTGGGTTCGAATCCCACTCAAGGCATGGATATCTCTATGCATTTATTTGTTTGTGTTGTCCTGCGTAGGTAGCGGCCTTGCGACGGGCTGATCCCCCGTACAAGGAATCCTACCGACTGTCTAAGATTAAGGAGTTGAAGTGAAACGAACTGTTTTACGCATACCCTAGATGGACGGACGGACGGATGAATGGATGGACGGGCAGGGAGGCAGGTAGGCCCAGCAAACGTTGGATTGAGACCGGAATAAGCTGTTAGTCTATCAGCGAAACAGTTAAATGGAAGATATATAATTTATGGATTCTTCATTCCAAATCCCCTCCCTACTCACAGGGTGAATTTAATACTTACGTTCATCTTGGACATATATTTCGTAAATAACTGGGAAGTTTGGCCTGCAAAGTCTCGATAGTGTTTGAGTTATGAGGGCCAGGCGAAACTCATTCCCTCTCTGGCGTTACTTTATGCCCGTGGAACCCACCCGCATTTCGAATGTTAATGGCTCAAGGGGGTGCAGATGTAATACAGAAATAACGTGTTTCAAAGTTACTTCATGTCTGAAACTTTCTGTGCTCTTTATTTTACTCGTTGGGGGGGGGGATTTATAGCACGTGCTGCTGCTTACAGTTTCACTTCCTGTTCGTGTAACTCGAAATGGACACAGTGCGACTTCTCGCTTATTCCATACAATTTATTTTACTAGTCTCAAATAGCGGAAAGAGTGAACAGAATTCTCCCTCCCTGCCCCATTTGTATTCCTACTCCCTCTGTTTGCAATCCCAGTTTCTTATTGATGTTGGAGAAGAGGAGCTATTGCAAATAGAGTAGGAAACAAGCAAGCTACTTAAACTGCGGCCATTCGTGTTCATTCTTTCCTTGACCCGAGTATGTATATCATAATTTTAAGGGTACACTCTACTACAAAAACGGCCGTGTCTCCACTCCACACTTTGTTGTGCATAACTAACTGGATGTTTCTCACACCTAAACATAAATAGGGCGGTTAGAAACCAGCTTTTTACCGAGGAACTTCGGATTCACTTCCTGGTGACTACTCTAAGAACCGTTATATAAATGAAGTGGCAGTGAAGTAAGTTTCCTCAAAGATTATTCGACCTTCCTCTGCTCATCACCATTCTGCCATTGCTTCGAACTCGTCATCGCTCCCCGACATCTGCGTCATTCCTGACCAGGCAGCACATCATCACACAATCGGACTTTAAGCTTGGGGCTTCCTTTCTGACCCGACATTTGTCTGGCGACAAAGTGGGGAAATATTAATGGCATTGATATTAATTCTTGTAGGCGCAAAACGAAACGTACTGATGCATACTGTCGTGACACACTGTAACGGATTTGATAAACGCGTTGCCAGGCAACAGCTCTGTAAACAAGGTCCAGCACACAACAATAGAGGAAGCTGTGTTTTCCGTGTGCGCCGTGACGTCACGCAACAGTAGGCGGTGATCAGGTGACATGTGTTTCCTGTGATACATGTCCGTTCCGAGGCTATGTAAGTAAGAGTTCAGGAGTACTCAGAGGAGTTACGAGTAGTAGCGGCAGAAGCAAGCAGTAAGCTGCAGGAGTACAGAAGAGTACAAGAAGTCGGCCTGTGAAGAATTAACGAGTGATTTGGAGACATTATGTGTACTGTAGTGCAGTGGTATCTGGAGTGTGTGATTTAAGGAAAGGTATATAGTTCCTGTGCTATAAATCCGTGAGAACTGGTGAGATAGAATGAAGAAATTAGCGTGCAGTGCTTTGTAGTGTGTAAATTAGCAGTAGTGTAATAATTAAGCTGCAGTCAGTCAATCATTGTGGTGGAGTCGGTTGGTGAATGAGTTAGTCGATAGTTGCTGTAGCTGAGGTCGGGGACAGTTCGAGAACCCAGAGCAAGGGGAACGCCCGCTGTTGAAAGCCGCTACCGAGCAATGGCTAGGGAAGTCTGAGAAGACATTATGTGTGCTGGATTTACATTGATCTTTGGAGTGTGTAACTCTGAGACTGTCGTAGTTCGTATTTACGATCTGTAAGTGTTCAGTAAATGCGATTACCAATCCAAAATACGTCTGTAGTCAGTCTAAAGTCGTGACGACATAAAGCTAGTTCTCTGTTATAATTCTTGTGTGACGTGAGGAAAACATTCACACCAAGGTGCGTCGCGAGCTTCACAAGTTTGAGGTCCACTTGTTTACAGTCCGAATAACATGGAGTTTCCTTGAATAAACAAAAGGAAAATAGAATTCGCTAAAACTGAGACAGCCACCCACCTCTTGGAGTCCTTTAGTCCCTGCCGTGACAGTACTGATCAGCTACAGTGAGCCCGTTGTCTGTATTCTGGAAGTAAGACGTGAACATGTGAAGACAAAGCAGTAGAACAGACATCGCGTGTGGGATTTCCCAGGGCATTCCTGGGAGTGTCTTTACAGGGCAGAATGACGAATGTATAAGAGTCGTACTGTTACCTGTATTCTCAAATAATCCTGTCATTGAGCTAGCTATACCATCTATTTACGGCCATGAAGTTGGAGTCAACACCATATTTGTATAATGCTCCTCTGGGGGCCTACTGGCCATAGCTCAAGCGGTTAGTCGCTGGCTTCCCACCGCGGCGGCCCGGGTTTGATCGCGGGTCTGGTCAAATGGGATTTGTGGTAGACAAAGTGGCGCTGGGGCAGGTTTTCTCCGAGTACTTCGGTTTCCCCTGCCAATCTTCATTCCACCAATTGCTCCACAATCACCCTCACCTATCATCTGGGGCTGGTACAATAGGCCAGAAGTGGCCGCAGTACAAGGGACTTAGTCCCACCCTACTAGCAATAAAAAAATTCCAACCACAACTGCATTGCTACGTACAGAGGAAGAACTGAATTCAAAACGTTCACATTGCAGACAGCAGCAGTAGTCACACGATGGAGCGGTCGGTTTAGTAGTGAGTGAAACCCCGAACTGTTACACAGCACATCATCAAGTTATACGCTAAATTGTCGATTGAATTTTAAGCTAAATTTCAACTCTGCGGATATTGCAGCCTCTATTTCTCTCACCTTTATCCGTATTTACTGCTAAAATTACATCGAACTGCATCAGCAGTAGATAGATTATTATTATTATTTTTAATTTCCTCGGGCGAAAAATCAATATTGCTTTCCGGATATTGGTTTTCTGGCGTTTGTGAGGTCGCGCTTGCTAATTGGTTCGCCGTTCGGAGCGGCAGCAGCAGAAAGCGGGCCACGCGGAGTTCATTTTGCTGCCCATGGGAAACATTAACGTCTAATTTCTCACGTGAGCGCTGAACCCTCACCTCTGCCCCCACCCCCACCCCAACAAACAAACAAATAACATCGCCTGTGGTCATTTACAGATTTCGCTCGGTTTGTAACAAAAGATTAAAATTCTTTCACACTTATCCAATGAATGAGCCGGGACAGCTCAGATGGTCTGGCGACTAGCTACGGGCTGGATGTCCGAGCGTCCGGAGTTCGAGTCCTATTCTCCTCGTCGTCCGGACCGGTTCAGGGGCCCAAGCAGCGCCCCACCCAGAGCGAACTGTGAGTTCTTTCCCCGGGGGTAAAATGGCAGGGGCGTGAAGCTAACCTCTCACCTCCAACTAGTGCCGAGGTCAAGAAAGCATGGGTCTATACATCCACTCCCCCATACGTCTTCATGGCCTAGTGCTTAATTAGTTAAGCACAGGGCAACTTTACCGTGCCAAATCCATTCATAACTTCGTTAGTCTACCAAATAGTGAGCTCTGTGAATAAGCTGATGGTCGATTAGCGACTACCAGCGGTATAAACAGATTTTCCGCCTTTTATGAAATTCTACAATTTTGTATCAATTTCACAATGGCTTCTGCATAATGAGGAGTTTCATAACTTCTACTCTTCTCCGTTTATAATTGGAATGATCAAGTCAAGGAGGATGAGGTGGGCAGGGTATGCAGCACAAATGGGGAGGAGAAGACTGCATGCAGGATTTTGGTGGGAAAACCAGAAGGAAAGAGACCATTGGAAAGACCATGACAAAGGAGGGTGAACAATATTAAAATGGATCTTAGAGAGATAAAATGGGATGGTATGGACTGGATAGATCTGGCTGAGGATAGGGACAGGTGGAGGGCTCTCTTGAACACGGTAATGAATCTTCGGGTTCCATAAAATGCTAAGTTCTTGAGTACCTGAACAATTGGCAGCTTCTGAAGAAGGGCTCAGCTCCATGAGTGAGTGAGTTAGTTAGTGAGT